CCAAATGCTTGCTTTAGCATTTCATAGGTTTCCGTAGCCGTTTTGGCGAGTTTTTGGCAAAATTTGATGCACACGCCATTCCGAAATCGCAGGAGGGTCGGTGTAATGCACTACCAAAACTCCCGTAACTAAGAAACAAATGCTAATTTGATGATGCCGGCTGGCACACTGATTCACTATGAATGTAGGCCGCACCCCCTAAAGGCAGAAGCTTGTACTACATCCGGTTCGCCCGCTATTGACACAGTCTGGAAACTTTCCGAACGCACCTCGTATTATGGTTGAACCACATTACTGTTTCACCTAAAGCCCCCACATCAGAATATTACACCAGTTTTCATGGACGTGGAAGTGATTTCGCTCTGACACTAAAGTATTCAAAGACGTTTTCATATTTTATTTTTTAAACGAATGTCGGTATTTATTAATACGAGCAAGATAGTTTTCCCTCCAAGCTCGCCTCCTGGGACATTTGCCCATATTCTCCGTATCCTAGGGCCGGCCTTACATCATACACACGTGAAAGGAACAAAGGAAATAAGAAATAAAAGATAGAAAGAGAGACAAAAATTTCTTCCGGCTGATTTTTTTCACAAAATAAAGACGTAAACATAAATGTGGTTTTGTAATTAAAGTGTTTTAGACGGAAAGAAATGAAGTAATAAGACGTAAATGGAAAAAAATGTTATCCTTTAAATCTGAAATTAAGAGAGACTTCCACCACTAAAATGCAGCACACCGGCGCAGGAAGCGATGGTCATTCTTTCCTGAGACCGTTCTCATTGGATTGTGAAGCATGACTTTATGACATATTGTATCTTCTTGCATTTATCGCCCGAAAACTTGTTTCAGCAAACAGTTTGGCTCTATCATGGGGTATGTGCGAGAATATAATAGTTTAGGTCAGGGGTCGGCAAACATTTTTTTTAAAGGGCCAAATAGTAAATATTTTAGGCTCTGCGGGCCAAGAGGCAAACTCGAGGATATTTATATAGGTAAGCCTACTTATGTAACAAGAAAAAAACAAGTTTTAACAAATTTATTGAACAAAATGTAACGTAATAATAAGTATACTACAATTGTTTGAAATACAGCTCTACTAATGAGAAGAATGGAATTGCCTGTTATGAGATAACATTTCACCAAACTGATGTTTAAATTCAGTACTCCCTAGCATCAAAATTGATGGTAACTGTTCATCCGTTAATGCTGACCTATATTGAGATTTTACATATTTCATCTTTGAAAATGTCTTTTCACACAGGTAGGTGCTGCCAAATACAGATATAAATCCCCGAGCATATGATCTTAATTGACCGTATTCATCGCTTGGAAGACATTTATAGAATTCTGTTAGATTCTTCTCTTGAAATTTGCTTTTTAGCATGTCATCACACTGCAGATTAATCACTTCCAATTTAAGGTTAGGTGGAAGCTTCTCAATTGTACAGTCAAATGGTTTTTGAAATATGGAAATGTCTTCTGAACGTGCATCAAGATCCGAGAAACGCTTCTGGAATTGTATTTTGAGGTCAGAAAATATATCCGTGAAATGTCAAAGAATTAAATAGGTAAAATCCGTTCTTAGCTCGCGGGCCGTACAAAAGAGGCGGCGGCCCGGATTTGACCCGCGGGCCGTAGTTTGCAAATGCGGTGTTTTTACAGCGTCAAATAGGAAAAATGTGATTCTTATTCTACGGTGCTTCGGGACATGACCTCCCTCCTTTCGCGGAGGTTTCCTAGTCTTTGAAGTGTGAATTTGTGAGTAGTGAGTGACCAGTCCACTGACGACATGTGATTCTTCTATTTATAAACATTTCTTAGTTGCAGAAGTCATCGTCGATTGCTGGAGTAACTCTGAATAATAAACTGGGAAGGAAACGGAAGTGACCTCTTTTACGGTACAGTGCAATCCCCGTACTTTTTTGATGATACTGAGGGGACAAATCCAAAATCTCAGGATGGTCGGCCCCTTTGTGGAAATTCAAATCCGGGATCTCCGTAATACGAAATGGGAATGCTAACCACTCAACCGCGACGTTCTGTGGTATGGAGAAGGCTGTCAACAAATTCTGTTTAACTATGTCTACACTCGTGCGCTTTTACGTGCGTCAATGGCATGCGTTATAGCGCAAGCAATAGCGCACGTAACGCATGCGTCTGCGCATGCCTGAAGAGAGTTGAACGGCAGCAGTTTTAGCAGCGCATGCCTCATTGCACGTGTTCCCAGCCTGAGTGGGTTTTGGTTCAACACGCCGTGCGTCTCATTCTCAAGATGGCGTCTTCTGAAGAAGAAACTTTGTTGTTTATTGACATTTACAGGTCGTTTCAACTGTTATGGGACCACAACCATCGAGACTACACTAATAAAACAAAACGTAGCGATGCTTTGACTGAGATGAGCAGCAAGTTAAACATCGACGTGAAGAGTGTGAAAAACAAAATAAAAAATTTGCGTTCATACTTTTCTAAGGAACGCCAAAAAGTGGATATTCATCTTCTACATATACTACTCATACAAACAACACGGACATGCCTGTTGATGGCATTAAAGAATTTCTGTATTTTCCAAAAAAGTAATTATGTGTATGCAAACACATAAAATATAACATAAAAATAAATAAATATATATATATAATTTATAATAATTTATTTAGAATTTAATAAAACCACTTACCTTGACATAATCATGAAGTCCATGCACTATAGCTTTCAGAACCTCTGGCAGCATTGCTGAAATGAATTGCCTGGAAACTTAAACAAATACATTAAGGACGCAAACGAATCACCGGTAGCTAAAAATCTCAGCGTTATAGCTAAGCTCAACAGGTATCACTTCTCTGAAGTGAAT